AGGGCCCCAAGAGCCAGACACGGCCCAGGGAGCCTCCATCCATCCCCCCCGGCAGCCCCTGGGGCAGCGTGAGCCCCCAGGGACCCAGGATTTCATCCCTCCTGCGCCTCCCGGCCCCGAGCTCTGACACGGGCAGCAGGTGGGTCACTGCCCGCTCCGGTCACATTCTTTTCATTCTGTCACAGAAACTGAGTCACGCACACACCCGGATATTTGTCTCTCTCTTCCTTTTTAATCAGCTGTATTTTGAGTAGTTTTGAAATACATTTTTCTCCAAAATGTCGTTTTTCCTGTATCTCACTCGATCACAAAGACACATGGCTGGTCCTCGCTCCGACGCACGCCCAGTCCCAATGGCGACACAGCGGAAAAGTCTGCTCAGGCTGCGAGAGAGGCAGGACTGAGACAGGGAGAAGGTGTAGAAAATACAAAAGACCAGGCAGGGATGCTTTCAGCTGCAATCCTGCAGCCAGCTGCTCATCGACCCGCTGGCTGGCAACGCACAGACGGGTGCTGGTCACGGCGGAGTCTGGTGCCCAGAGCTCTGGGCACGCGGGGGCTCGGACAAGCCGGTCCTGCCCGGGGGCGAAACTGGCCGGCTCAGCACAGCAGGCTCCCGAGAGCTTACCCTGTAGTTCTCCTTGAATCATGCGTAACGTCTCGTTGAGCTGAAACGTCCATTTATTTAACAGCAGTAATAATTTAAAATTATAAAAACCTTTTCAGTGTTGAGTATCGGAAGGGTGGGGTTGTAAAGAAAAATAAATGGGACTCGAGATGGGGCAGAGAAGGGCACCAGGACTATTTCAAGAGTTCATGTTTCAGTGACAACTATTGGCCCCCCCCAGCTGGGATCCGGGGAGGGCGGCAGTATCATTACGCTTTCGTTTCAAAGACTTCAATCTCCAAAGCAGAAGAGAAAGCATCCAAGGGGAGGAGGAGGAGCAAAAGAAATAAAGAAAGGAATCTCAAACTCAAACCCATACAAACAACCTTTCCGTTCAGAGCTGCATCTGCGAGCTCAGCACCGCGGGTTTCCCGTCTGCGGAGCGCAGAAGCCTGTCACTGCAAGGGTTAAAAGTCCAGGCGGCAGATGGATGCTTTTATTAATAAACAGCTCTTTCCCCCCGTCACAGAACTTGAGGCTTCTCATCTCTGAAGGACCCAGAGTCTCCGCATCTTCAGAACTCAAAAGGGAATTGTGGGGGTGCTGCTCCCCCCGCTCCCCTCCCCAGCTCTGCTCTGGGAGCCCCTGCGCTGCCAGGGGGAGGACGGACACGGACGGGGCCCCGGGGACGGGGGGTGGGTTAAGATTCAGGAGTTGTTCGATGTGTTTTCGTTACTTGGTGAGCTGGAGGAAGAGGAGGAGGAGGATGAGGAGAAGTTCATCCCCGTGAGTCCTGGGGGGTTTGTGGCAGTGTTTTGTCCGCTTAAGCTTTTCCGGCACACAGGACACGTGTCGTGCTTTGGAGAGCAGAAAAAACAAAACAAGAAACACGGGAAGAAACAGGGTTAGAAACACGATACGGGAGCAGCACTCGAGGAGAAGGCCAGGATGACACTCCTTCCTCTGACCAAAGGCTGCTCGTGCTTAGGTCTCATCACAGAGGTGAGAAAATATTTACAGAGGAGAGCAGCACCACCAGAAAACCCACAGTTTTGTCATCCCCTCCGCCGGCACTCACCTGTTCCAGCCAAGGGACTATACAGCTGTTGTGGAACAGGTGATTGCAGGGTAATTGCCGGACGCTTTCACCCACTGTATAGTCTTCTTTACACACAGGACACTCTAACCCAGAATCTGGGTCACAAAGGGAAACACAGCTCAGCAATACAGGAGAGACCCACCCTCAAAGCACCCGACTCGGCATCCCACCACCTCTTCCCCTTCCTCCCACTGCTGTCCATCCCCGTGGAGGGGAAAGCTTGCTGCTCTGCGGTTACCACCACTATCACTCCACCTCTCACTGCCCTAGTCGTATTTCGCTGTTCCCTTCCCTTCCCTTCCGCTTTCTAATCTCCATCCACACTGAACTTTTCGGAACAGTTTGCCTCCCCAGGGCAAATCCACCCACTCTACACTGCTCTTTTTTTGTGTGAGTATCACAGCAAGACTTTGGCTTTCTCCCCTCTTTGACATGTTTTAGGCCTTGAAGGTACCAGCAGACAAAATTTAAATCCCAAGAAAACGTTAAAGAGAACTGTCACAGAGCTCCTCGTGAGCGCTTCATTGGAGATACACGCACCTACGTGTTCCTGGGAGATCTGTACGGTGGGGAGAGCCTGGATCTTCTCTTTGTCTGCTGGCGGCGGTCCCGTGTTTTCAAACTGATTTAGTAACTGAACAAACAAGAGGCCACAGAAGGCAGAAAGAAGATGTGAGCTCGGCAGCAGGCAGAATCTGTTCGTTTATTGACCCACGGCACCCGAACCCCATGTCGCCTGCACTGCGGACCTCCGCTCCCTCCCTGCCCCGTCACTGGTTCCCCCCCGCGCCACAGCCGCTGCTGGCGTTGTGCAGCACAGCGCTCCGCCGTAACGCCCGCTTCACCTGGGTAATAATTGCGTCCAAGCCGTTGGCACCCCACGCGTAATCCATTGGGTTCGAATGCAAGACTCCCCTGTGAGAACAAGGACAACAATTGAATTCGTCCAGGAGTGCAAAGGAGAACACTGTCAGAAAGAGAGGACACCTGCCGACTCACCAAGGACCCAGCCCGAGGTTTGGTATCGTTGTAGGTGCAATAATTCCATTGACCAGCTGCTGGATAATTCTGAAAGACAAGAAAACCGGGGTCCTGTAAGAATTAGTGTCTGCTAACGCCCGGCCCAGAAACACGACGCGGAGGGAGCGGCTAAATACCGTCACATCATCAGAGGGGAAAAGGAAAAATAACTGCAGGTTTAGGGGGCAAAACCCCCAGCCCGGCTGCAGGCCACACCACTGTGCTCAGGTGAAACAGCCCCGAAACCTCGAGGCACGAGCTCGCCAGCAGCTGCTGGCCCAGCTGAAGCCCGACCGTGCAGCAGCGCAAGAGAGCTGGGCGCCTACGGGATAGTCACACTGGAGAGCTGGGCTCAAAGTGAGGAGAAAAAGGCACGGGGTACTTTTCAGCTAACTCTCACTGCTGAGAAATAACGGGGCGTCCTCGGCAAGAACCGGGCAGCTGCTCTCACCCTTCTAGCGTGGGCACTCCCTCGTGCCTGCCGGCCGCACGGCGCGTGGCGAGACGCGCTCGGGGCTGCCTGGCGCCATATCGATGCCGAGACTGGTGCTCTCGCTCCCGGCGGTTCTCGGAGTCCCTGTTGTCTTCCGACTGCACGTTGGACCCGAACGGAAACTCAAAGCTGTCATCAAAGATCCCGAAGGCAAACTGGCCGTAGCCCTGCGGCAAGGTGAATAAGTGCTGATCCACGTTCTGGGAGGGAGAGAATTCAGAGAATGGATCGTAACACGGAGAGAAACAGCTCATGGCTTCCACACCTGGGGTCTCACCAGCCCAACAGAGACGAGTGTCTCCAGGACCCCGGCAACCCCCCAGCCTGGGCTGGCACAGGCAATCAGCGCGCTCCCAGAAGCAGCTCAGCGAGGAGCACGCACGGATGGAAGCTAAGATGTAACTACGGCTTCCCTGGGTTCTCTCCAGCTGCTGCCTTGAGCCGAGGCCCCAGCACAGCCACGCACCTGAGAGCTCGCTGCATCCCGCCCGAGCCCCCTCACAACGGGAATCAGCGACCAGTGACGGTCTTGTGACACACACGCAGCGAAGGTACGCCACGTGGAGATGCCAGGAGCAGCGTGTGGATGATGTTAATACCTCCTTTCCCAAATTTTGTCCTAATCCGGGGAACACTTAAGCAATACACTAACGGAGAAGTACTTCAGCTCAATGGCCAGGCAGGAGGTGTTGGGAGAGAGAGAGAGAGGACTGGCTCACCTCAAAAGGATGCCTGCTCTGCTCGCTGGCTGCTGTAGAGGAGCTGGTCTCATTGTCAGCGTTCCTGTGAAGAACCAAGAGCATCATAACCCTCAGAAGGTGCTATGAGAAGATTTTCATTTTTCCCTCCCTGCAACCTTAATTTTCCCTCATCTTCCCCCCTCTCCCCACCCTTTCACATTCCGATTTCCTGAAGCTAGAGAGAAGTGGCTGAACCACGATGTGGAGACAGGATCCCCTGCGCAATCCACCTCCAGCAGATCAGCTAATCCTCCGGAGCACCAGGGAGGGAAGGCTGAAGGCACAGACCCTGATCACTCTGACCCAGACACGCTTAAGTCTAATCTTGAATCAAAGGCACTTCTCTATGGCAGAGGCATGTGACCACACGGGACAGATTATGAGGAAAACTCTTAATGCCGTTCGGCTTCTGCTTTCGGAGAGCTGCAGGAGCGCTCACTGCTCAGCACCCAGGTCTGCGTCCTGACACCGGTGGTAAGAGAAAACGAAGGTTCAGCGACTATGCGCCTCTCCCAAGGTCACCGCAAATCACCGACACCCTCAGGATTAGCCAGGATTGATTTCCAGCCTCTAAGGTTGGCGTAGTCGGAGCAAACGTCACCTTTTCGGTACAGAAACCCCAGCGGGTGAAGACCACCCCTCTCAGCACACCCCCGTGCCGCTCAGCCTGCCCTCACGCTGCTGGTCCCAAAACCGGTCACAGCCCAGGGCTGGCAAACGTGTCTGAAACATTTGAAGACGTTTCTCCTACTCTCGCCTGTTCTGGCGCTGCTGGAGCAGTCCCGTGGCTGAGTCAGCAGCAAAGCACGTGAATGCAGATCTCAGCTGCTCCAGTGCAGAGTCCAAAGTCTTTGTCAAAATGTTTCGCCGTCAGTACTCCGAGCTACGGAATTATGCACTGAAGCACACGCACACTCTCCGGTCCACAGACTCCTCTCCCAGGGTTATCTCTGCCCTGGTGACTCAAACCAGCCCAGAGCTGCCACGTGCCGGGGGGAAGCCTCTCCCCCACTGTTCTGTTTGTTTTAAATCCACTCGTTCCTCCCCACCCCGCACCAGCCATGTCGGACACTCGGCATTTCATTCCCACGGCTGAGTTACCTGGAGGTGTGAACTGCACAAACTGAGCACTATCGACCCATAGGGGGGAAAGATGTGCCAAAAATGGGGCAGAAGTAGTACAAACGGTGTATTTAGTACCCGGCATTGCCTTTTGACGAGAAAAGAGAAAAGCGCAAAGCAGACTGAGGTCGCTCTGGCGACAGCCTTCGGGCAGCACGTTACCTGGGCTCTTCAGGAAGCTCCTCAATAAAACCAGATTCGCACCGCGGGCAGATGTAGTCCTACGGGAGAAGAAATACTGAATGAGGAAAGGAAGCAGTACGTAAATCTGCAGAGTACCTGCAGCGTGACGGGGCAGAAGAGCCCCGCAGCCCATCATGCCCCACGCAGGCTGCGATCGCAGAGCCAGGACGACCCAAACCACGGGTATGTGCCTCCATCAGACCAGTTAACCCTGAGCCTGTTTGGAACCTGACTTCAGAAAAGCTCTGGCCAGTGCTAACCAGCCCCCAGCGGGGACACAGCATCGGGTGACATCTGATGGAGTTCTGGGTGAAGTGAAAGCAAAACCTCATGCCTTCCCGGAAGGGCA